CAGGGTCTGTGGTTCAGTTTACAGAGATGTCAAAACAATGTCAGTTTAGAGCCATCATGTCGAATACCTAAGCGCATTTAATTCTAAATACGCCAAGATCCTAAGCACATTAAACTATGTCTAAACACGTTTAGCTTTTAAACGTGTCACCAAAAACAGGACAACTGCGTGGAGCATTGCGTTTAAATACTCTTTTACCGTGCAGTATTTCTTGTACTGTAGGGCCTACCTGAATTCATGTAGCTTATTAAAATTAATCCTGACCAATCTCAAACGATCATTAAACAAGCTAGTCGACGATTAATTCTAAAACACTTTTGTAACAACAGGTTCACACAAAAACTCGTAAACAGCGAACCGTGTGGTAAAATGTCATTTTAATTAAGAATGGCGCAAAACAAGGGAACAATTGTGCTGCCCCAATACACTTGAATTAACGACACTGCCAAAGTTATAGGATCATCAAATATATACCGATGCATTTAAATTCCAATAAAAGTACATAAAATTAATAATACACTGGAGATCGTAAAACCTGACATACATAAGAAATATACTAATATAGTACCGTATTACTGTATAAGGCACCAAAGGTATGCAAAATTCAAGGTAAATTACACCATAATGCATAGTTACCAACTGTCTCGCATCGTGCGGGACGGTCCCGCATTTCAAAGTGATTTTGGATGAAACACGCATTTTGCAGAAACACATGCGTGATACTAAATTTGTCACGCATTTAGCACAAGTCCATGCGTGATAACGAATTATCACAAATTCAGGGGAAAATGTATTTAAAATTAGAAGAAATTGGTTGTAACGGTCATGCATTAACTTGAGTCATTACAGAGTACAGTATTTCCGTAAAGGCCCTACTTATTTTACTGACGCGTTACTAAAAATTGATCAGTAATGAAATGTTTGTGTAGGTCTACATAGTTCAGGTGCTCACATTTATCATAGGCCTACATTGAAACTCAAATTGGCTTTATTAATAATATTTTTGCTTATGTACCTGTATTATCAACAAGCACTCACTGAAATCGTTTTAAAACAGCTTAAAAATGCTCAGATCGTCGGAGCGGCGGCAGGGGGGGGGGTTTCCCTGCCGCTTGGACCCCCCACCCCCAGCCACGCATTTCAAATCTCTCAGGTTGGTAACTATGCATAATGATATGATAAAGTGTAATATTGGGTGCCCAAAATTGGAGTACACGAAACAAACTACTAATATCGGCGCGGGCACGCTCGCCTATGGTTCTGGAGGTGGAACAAATCTTCTAGAGATAAGGTCCCTCTATAGACCCAGTAAACAATGATTGGCTCATGTGCACTAAACAACACAGAACATGTTTACAGACGAGTAGGAGGTTACCCTGCTGTACTAGTCTATACAGCCCCTGTTGTGGTCAGATGAGAGGGCCTATAGTTCGTAATCAAATTTTAGACCAGTGCCCGCCATCTTCTCTCGATAAAGTTCATCAAAAGCTTCGCTTTCGGCAACGGTGAAGTGATTTTTCCAATCACCAACTCTCCCTGTAAAATATGTATAATGGAAGATATTCGCTATCACTACAAATTTTCATACCACATATATTTATGTAATACTTAAGTCTATAAAGATATCTATATATACATTACTGATATTCACTCGCAGATTCCTCTTCTTTAAGGTTCAAAATTTATTTATATTTTTATAGCATTGGCGCATGACGGTTTAGAGTTTGTAACTATTATATCATTATTATGTTTTTCAAATAACTATAGGCTGTTCCAAGAGGAAAAGATAAAAGAATTAATTGAAAATAAACTAATGAAAGGAAATTTAAACGACATTCATCAGAATTTACGATACTAATCCTTTCTCATAAATGGTATTTCTTTGGTGTCCATCCGTGGATGTTCAGTATAGTTGACCTTTTTGTTTGACCTCATCGACTCAAAGGAACAGTGTTTGAGAAGCTCGGGTAGATTTTTGTCCGTAATAGGCCATCCGAGGAACGATGCAACTTTCTCAACAACATCACTGAGACTCTATACACATTAAAGTAATTATATATTCAAATAAATAAAATACATTAAAAAAAAAACAACACTTACAGTATACCATAGATACCCGGCCGTATGTCAGATACCGTCTATAATTGATATGTACCGGTACATTAGCATATATTAATTAACTAAATACAAAATTAATTAATATTTATAAACAGATAATAGATATTGCTTCTTACTCTTTGCATGTCTTCGTATTTGACGAACAGTACGTTTTTATCGTTGCGTTGACTCCACCAATAGGAGTTCATAGAAAACCAGTCTCCAAAACAACTGTAATGAAATATTTTTAAAACCCTACTTGCGTAACTACACTCATTCATTAACAATAATAAAGTGTTAAGATAAAAATAACTTCGATAATGATGCTGATGCTAATAATAATAATAATGATAGTACTGTACAGTTGTTTCAGTGATAGGTTATAAGCTTCATAGAGTTATTACGGTTAGTAATTGTAACGATAATTGTAATGATATTGAAATATTAATATACGATAATAATATAATGATAGTAACGATAATCCATATCGAGAATAATAAAAATTTCTAATACAACAACAATAGGCCTAATAATAGTAACGGTTACAACAATAAGCTTATAATGGCCAAGAATAATAAGAAACTATCATGTTAATTAGCTACTCACGATTCCCATCGCAGAAATCATTCAGAAATTCACTCCACGAGTCATAGTTGGGTAATGTTTTACCATTTTGTGAAAATAGAAGAAAGAAACAGCAGTGTCTTTTGGATTTCTACAGACAAATACAATCTAAGAGAAAAAAAAAAACATCTCAAATGTTAACATGAATTCAATTGGTAAACGATTTGCAAGTATATACTGATTGTTGTGAATATTTACCATTAATTATTCTCGACAGTCATATTTAGAATTGCTTATTATTATCATATACTAATTTGATTAAGGACCAAAATGTTACCGTCCGGACGCGTGCACATCTGGAAGAAATATATCATATCACTACTCTCGTAGGTGGCTTTCTCTTATTGGCTTTTTTGAGTTCTATATTTATGTCCATTAAAATATGATTAAAACTAACATGAATATACAAAGAATACAAAAAAAAATTTCCATGGGTGGGTGTATAGTTTAGAATTGACAACGTTTTAAAGTATTTGAAGATCTGGAGCAGTATGTCGATCAAATGTCACTCCCAAATCATTACATATATATGAGGGTGCTATTCCATACATTTATACGTCAATAATGATGCAAGGGCATAATCACGTCTTTCCTCGAATAACTGCCATTTCAAATGTTTAATTAAATCTTCACCACGATAAATAACATAATCGAAATTATTAAAAATAATTCCAGCAGTTCTTTTTTTTTTTTTGAAGTCTATGCAATAGTTTCTTAAAATTTTAATGGACGTATTTTCCCGTACTGAAATTGCGATATATATATATACTGTCTCTTATACACATCATATAATTAGCGAAATGCAGTTTAGAATCTGAATTATATCATGATTCATTTATAAAAAAATAGTAATATATACATTGCCTATGCAGCTATTATGCGATTCATATGGTATTTTAATTAGTTTACCTCGTTAAAATACGTATCGTGTGGTATTGCAATGAGTGAACTGATTAAAGGGGGAGGGGTGCGGGGATGAAATAATTAATTTTTAATTTAAAATAGAGGGATGGCCGACCACAACGACGGTGACGGCACTCGATTTTGGAGCGCGGTATTCGAAAACGAGGCTTGTGAACTGGGTCCCAAAAAAAAAACTGGTGCTACAGGATTTTGAGCTAGTGTTATAAGATAGGGAATTTCCTAAAATGTACCGACTTTCAAAGGCTTGCATTCGGTAACCCCATAAAAAATCGTGTCAAGCTTTAGATATTCCAATGTAAATTTGGCCGTTCTTTTCATTTATATGGGTTTCCACTTATGAAAATGTCTCAATTATCTGTAAAATAACGATTTTCCCCAGTTTTTATTTCGGAAATTTGCACTAGACAGGGAGTCAGCTGATGCACTCAACCGTAACGAGCTGGTAACGACATTAGCCAACTGATGAGAATGGTCGTCGCGAGTGGAAAATTGAAAAATTAGGACTGGCGAAAATATTCAATAATAATAGTAAAATAAGTCGAAGGCATTTTTGAAGAATGAATCTTTCAAAAAGATATGTTTGCTGGTTTGGATAAGGAAGTCTTGGAAGTGGTTTGTTTAATACCAACAATTGTCTTACCTGTGTAGGCATAGCCTAGCATTTAGTGCAGTACTGTATGTATGTAGAGAATACGGAATACTAACTGCCTGGCGCGACCTTGGCCTAGGCCCCTAGTTTAGGCCTAGACATATACAAACTATAATAATAATATTTCAAACATTAGACAAACAAACAACACTATTTTAAATAAAGTGTATTAATTTACATGTTAATTATTAGATCCATGGAACTATCTAGGACCTACTACTACTACTACAGGCATTACTAAAATGCCAGTTTATTCGCCGTGGAATGTGGATGATGCCTTGAAAGCTAGCTCAAATTTGCGCGGAAAATTGCTTGGAAAAATAACTTCTGCATAATACATTGGCAAATGTTATATACAGTATTCAGATTAGTTTAAAGACTAATTTTCGGCATTCTTCTCGGAAATATAGCCACCCGCCTTAGGCGTGGCCCTGCTTGTTCCATGCTGGATCAAAAACTAGTAGAGGGTCAAATGTCCAGCCATTTTGATGGTCAAAATACAGGGGAATTATTATTACTGTACATTAGATAAGAATAAGATTGAGAAACAAGATAGTCTATTATACATATATTATTTTACCTTCATTTGTAATTTTTAAACTAATTTTTATTTTTATATTACAAAAAAGTATTATATTAATGAAATAATAAATTCTATTCAAAATAATTGTTTATTAATATTAATAAAATAATTGCTATGTTACACCACTTTGCAATGCA